ATTATTTACTAATTAATAGATTATAATTAACATAATATATGATTGATATATTATTTATTTATTTAATAACCTATTATTACTTATTTTATTGTTAATATGTTATATAATTAATTTTTGACAATTAATCTTTAACTAAATAATTAATGACTATGTTATTTATTATTTTATTAATAAAATTAGAAGCTTAATTGTAATAAATTAATATTTAATTAATAATTAAGTAATTACTATATATTTATTTGTTATTAAGTATAACTATTTATTAATTATTAATTAATATAATATAATTAGTAATTAATAATTAATTATTTAATATAACTTTGTTTATAGTACAAAAAAATGAAAACGGAAAAGGGAAAACAACTTTCAATCGTTCTTTACTTCCTTTACAAAAATCATTCTCATGTGTGTTTAGAACTCGTTCTAAAATGATTTTATTTTTATATGAAAATGAAAATGAAAACATTTTCATTCTCAGACAGAAATCATTTTTGAAAATGTGTTCGGTAGTTTTATCAAGAGATTGTTTTCAGTGTAAAAAACTCATTAATATCTCTCTTTCTCTCTCGCTGCTTGAGAGAGGAGAAAACAAAAACAAAAAATGAAAAATGACTAAAAGTCATTTTTTATTTCTCTCTCATTTTATACTAAACTAAAAAATTATTTTAATTTTTTTTTGTCTTTATTGTACCAAATGCCGTTTTGGAAACGTTTTCATTTTTTCTTTCTCAAAAAACGTGAAAAATAAAAATGGGATCAATTCCAAACACGACTTTTTTGTTGTTTTCATTTCCGTTTTCAAAACTTTTATTAGACAAACGCGATTTGCATACCGTTTTCATTTTCATGCCTCAAAAGGCGTGCAAAAACGTTTTCAAAAACAATTCCATACGTACCATTTGTTTTCAAATATAAAAACAAGGAGCTTATTTGGTTCAACAACTCAAACCGTAGAGATGTGACCCTTTTTGCTTAGAACTGTAGAATCTGAATTGTGGTGATTCAAATTATGATCTGAAGTATCGTTTGGTTATGCAAATAAATTGTAATTCGATTGGGAATAAAATTCAAAGTTTATTTGAATAAAGTGTAAAAACTGTCATTAGAGTTTTGTAACAAATCTTATAAAAATTTATTATAAATGACATTAGAAAATATGCAATATGGGTGGAGATTTATTTCTCTCTTTATTATGAACACATTGAAAAAAATCATCTCAATCAGAATTAAAACAAAGAAGTTATGACTTTTTTAAAATTGAAATTAAAAAAAGAAAAAAAGTAGAATCTGAAACTATTAGACTGTTGATAACACTTCAGATTGTTAGAATTTAAGGAGAAATGAATTCTAAAATCAACAATTTGAGTTGTTCCTAAATTATTATCAATGATTTAAATTGTCTTTGAATTTTTCTTCTCAAACACCAATTTAAATTACGAATTAAAATTTAAATTTTAAACAACAATTTGAGTTGATGAAACAAACATTTGCTAAATAATTTTACGAGAAATTATAACAAATAGAGAAAATCTATGGTAGGGTGAGCTCTTTTTTCCTGCGGATAGGGTGAAATCATAAACGCCGTTGACCAAAAGTCAGTGGACCAAAATGAGCACATCCATAGAAACAAAAATAAAATCGATTGTATCTAATCAAAATCTGTGAAGAAACTCTCTCAGACTCCATCTGCCCCTCCGACAAAGGCGCCAAGCGAACCACCTCTCCCCCGATGAAGGACGTAATCTCGCGCCTTCTCCGACGGAAGTCCTCCTCCGACGGGACTGGCACAAACCAGACATTACCCTTAACCCACTCTCCAATTACACAAGTCCTTACTCATTAAAAGATTTAGTTTTGACCAAGAACCCAGTTTAAACTAACACACCAAGAACCCAGGAAAACCCAGATCATGCAGATCAACAAATATTCATGGATACTTCAAATTAATATCAGCCTAAAACCCATGCAAGTTCTTTTTACTTTTCGCTTTTCCCATGAATCTGTTCCCACTCACTTTTGATTTGATCTGCAAAAACTTTGAAAGGGAAGCACATGTCGAATATAGGGGAAAAAAGAGCCTTCTTTGTTGTCTCATAAGCTGTCATTTTTATATATTGAAGAATAAAATGGAGAAATTGAATAGAGAATCCGTAACTTTTGATTTGATCCGATTGATCAAAAGAAAAGCAAAAAGTGAAAAAGAAATAGAAAATTTGCTGGCTGCTTGCGTAATTTGTCAGAGAAGTCGGAGAAGGAGCCCTCATCCGTAGGACGGAAGGCTGGCTTGGTGCCGTCGAGGCACCGCCGTGGGGAAGACCAACCAGAAAGTGGAGTGAATTTTTGGGCCCGTGAGTTATACTCGGACCATGGGTTTGATTGTTGATTTGATATTTGGAATTTAAATTTTACGTGATAGCTTTACTGATTTGAATTTGAATATAGGGAACCAACCAACGACCCCTTAGTTTCTAGTTTAAATTTTATAAGCCATTTTTTACTATGGTTTCTGGTAAATAACATATTTTATATGCTTAGTAAATAAATGACTTACTGTAAATATGTTATTTAACATAAATATTTTCTAAAAAAATTAATAATATACTACTTGGTTCTCTCTCTTATCTCCTCAATTTAAATAAATTTAAGCAAAAATTGAAAACCAACTTTAAACATTTAAAAAAACGGACTTTATTAATGTGATGGGCATTTTAAACATACTGGTCGGACTGGTGGCGCTGACTTAGCTGTAATTAGTTATTATACTGTGGGTTAAACGGTGGAGAGCTTATCACTGAAGCGGCACTTCTAACGGCAAAGGTAATAATTAAAAATTAGTTTTATCTTTGACATATGAATGTTTTTTTTGGCACCCACAAGTCGTTTCTCTCTGCTATGACCGGACATATAACATTATGAGTTATAATATTATGACTCTCAAGGTCAATTATATCTTTAATGTATTAGTCGTTACAATCAGTTTACATATCAGTTATAAACCATCTAAAATCTCTAATTGACGAAGGATATTTTCAATTCCTATCACATTATGTTCAACCCAGTCATTTTTTTTGAGTTCTATATACTAAGGGCTTGTTCTTTTAGAGTTTAACTTGAGTATAATTCTTGAGTTGAATTTGAGTTATAATTTGAGTTGAAGTTATAACTTGAGTTTGTGTTTGGTTGTGTACATTTGAGTTATGATTTGAGATAATAATCTTTTTGAGTTTGTGTTTGAGTGAGTCAAAACTTGAATTTATAATTAGATAATATTTTAATAAAAACTCAATACTGATGGAAATTTTAATAGGGTATATGGGTGAGGTTTTATTCGTCTTTTCGTTGTCAATGCATAGAAAAAAAAATCATCTCAATCAGAATTAAAACGAAAAAGTTATATCATTTTTAAGAATAGAAAAAACACTGTTCATTAATTTGAGTTCGAGTTTCTGAACTCGAATTGAAGGGGAAACATGAACTCGAGTTTTAGTCCCAAACTCGAGTTTGAACTCGAGTTCAAACTTAAAAGGACATAAACTCGAATAAAGTTGTAATTCGAGTTACCTTTTTTGAGTTTTTCACTTAAAAGAATAAGCCCTAAGTCTCCCGAAAAATAAATTTTAAAAGACAAAAACAAAAAAAATTGTGTACCAACCTCGATTTAGTGCACAACTGGAGTATTGACGACGAAAGAATGAGAGCGTAAGGAAGAGAGAGACTGAGTAGAGAGAGGCCAAACTTTAGAGAGAGAGAGAGAGAGAGAGAGAGAGAGAGAGAGAGAGAGAGGGGG